ATTTGTTTTTCTGCTTCCCCTCTTCCAAACACATAAGGCAAGCCAGGTATCGAGAACTCTCGACATGGAAGATAGAGCAGGTACCTGGTGACTTCAGCTCACCGTTGACTGAAAACAATGCCCAGGTTGGACACTGGGTACCAACTTCCTATGGCATACTGCATGGCACTGCCCACACAAAGTCCACAGGCATTGGTATCTGACTTGTATCAATCTTTAAGATGGTACATCTCTGATCCACTTACAAAATGCATCTGCACTTCAATGCTGCACCAGTATCTAGCATTGTAATGCTGCAGCGAGGACACTGTGCTCAAGGACACCCATCCAGCTCATGGACTGGACTAGGCGGCATCTCTGGCCTATTCACTTGCTGTCATAGCCCACACTCACTCTAAGCCTAGCTGGATGCTCATACCATCCCTGCCTTGCCCTGCATTTTTATGCTTTGGCACCTCAGCCAGTGATACCAGGCTCACAGTATTGTTGCATTGATGTGTCATTTAGCGCAGACAAAATGAACAGGGTCAGTCAGTCATTCAGGGCAGTCACATTCAGTGTCCTTTCTCATAAGGGCAGATGAGCCAAATGTCAGGCAGCCCACCAACTGATTTGTCTCTTTCTGCTCTCTTGTGGTTTACTGTCCTCCTGGAATGAGAGAAAGGCAGCTATAAAGAGAGATGAAAGTGGCAAAACTGTACCTTTTAATAGGTAAGAAGGTGTCCAAAGCTAGTTAGTAGGCAGTGCAGAAGGCAAGTGGTGGCGGGGATTGGCATGAGTGATGGTGAGTGGGGAAGATGTTGCAGGCATAGAATGATAGAGTATAAGCCTTGGTACGAAGTGGGTACAATAACAGAGGTAGAGATAGCAGAGAGAAGATGGCAGTACCTATGCTGATGGAGTTGAGAAGGCCATACATTGTGCATTGCTTCAGACGGTTTAGGCTGCACAGACATTGGAGAATCAACCTCAGACCAGGCATAGCCTGGTGTCGTGGCTCCCACTGCTGGTCTGAAGCAAGAGGATGTCCTGCCTCTGCACTATCTCATCCAGCAAGATCTCCAGGACCTTACCTACAAAGCACAGGACCAAACTTTTCTCATCTCCCATCCAGTCATAGAATCCCTACAGTGCGGACGTAGGCCATTTGACCCATCGAGTCCACACTGACCCTCTGAAGAGCATCTCACACCCCCACCTTGTCACTGTAACCCCTTGTTTCCCATGGCTAATCTACCTAACCTTCACATCTTTGGACTGTGGGAAACTCTAACAGACACAAGGAGAATGTGCAAACTCCACACTGACGGTCGCCCGAGGGTGGAATCAAGCCAGGATCCCTGGCACTGTGAGGCAGCACCACTGAGCCACTGTACCACCATCTCCAGGTCAAATGTCAGAAACAGCATAGATTCCAATTCAGACAGGCTTGTACTTTTAAGACAATTATATAATGGCATGTGACATTCCAACATAATGTTACCTTGCTTACCCTCAATCATTCCCTCCACGTAATGGAGTCAGTGTGTTGTCTTCAGTCAGTTAACTATGTAATATCAAATAATAGCAGCAAGCGATAAACCAGACTGTTTTAAGTCTGTGATATTGTAGCTGTGTAAAATGTTTATGTAAATACCTTATGGAATTTGTTAAGACATGAAGTATGTAAGATTAAAATGTGGATTTACTTAAAGGCAAGCTAGATAAACATGAGGGAGAAACGATTAGAGGATATACTAAAGGGTTAGTTGAAATAAAATAGGATATAGAGTCTTAGAGTCATACAGCACAGAAACAGACCTTTCATTGACTTTGGCACATACTATACCTGTTGGGGAGACTAGCCCATTTCAGTACTGTATATGGTATGCACGTTGAGGTAATTTAGCATGTTTTTTTTGCAAAATTAGAATTAAATCTAGGATTAGTAAATCTTGGTAAAGCTTTTGAGGCAGCTGACATTGCAAATGCTCTTGTCATTCAGAATGTACAAATGACATAACACCAGTCCTGGCGGTCAACTGAGTTGTGAGTTCATAGTCAGAAGGGTCTGCACATTGAGGACACTCTCCATTGTTTTGTATGGCATTATTACTGTACTAAATGGTAATTTCAAACTGACCCAGCATCTCAAAAATGAACATCCATGAGATGTCATGGGCCAACACCAGCAGCAAAATTGTACTCTAACACAATCTACAATCTCATGGGCTGGCACACCCCCCATCCTATCTTTACCATCAAAGCCAGGGGATCAACTCCAAGTCAATGAACAGTGCAGGAGGAAATGCCAGGAGCAGCATCAAGCATACCTAAAAATGAACAGCTTTCTAGGCCATTTCAGAAGGCAATGCAGAATCAAACACATTGCTATTGGTCTGGAGTTACAATTAGGCCAGACCAGTAATGATGGCAGATTTCCATCTCTAAAAAACATCAGAGTTTTTACAACAGTGACAGATTGATTGCCCTATTACTGAGACTAGCTGCCAATTCAAGATTTTATTAACTGAGTTCAATTCTACCAGATGCCATGGTTGGATTTGAGCCCATGTCCCCAGGATATTAGCTTGGACCTGTGGATAATTAGTCCAGTGACATTACCACTATGCCGCAGTTTCCATAAATTATCCTGTTCTTGGCTTCAGTCCTTCGATTCCTAAAATACATCATTGGCCAAGGCTGAATTGGGTGCTCCTGCTCTCCTATCAGCTGACCATGACATTGTTCCACTTGAGTTGTACAAGCATCCTCTGCTGTGTGTGAATAAATGCACTGCTGGCTACGCCCTAGAGAGTGTGTGTTGACAGGTGTAATGAGAGTTGATCATCACTCAACATCTAGATAATAAGGAATGAAATTCATTTCAGTTTGTGAAGTTGATGAGGTCTTTTTGGCCTTAGGAATGGCACCAATGGCAGAACGCGAGAATCCAGTTATTCCAGAGAAATTAATGGTTCTCTCTGTTTGTTCTGGTGGGTCTATGTGCAACTGGATAAACTCAAAGATAACGAGGTTAACTTTGAACTGTCTAAAACATTATTAAACCTTTGGTTCCCTAGTGTCACAGAGACAGTCTGGAAGTATCTCCAAGCCTTGTTCTACTGTCAGCTTCACACCCCCAGAAAAGGCAGTACCTTCAGAAGTAAGTGTCCACAATGAAGGTTCCAAGGCTGGAATATTTCTGTTATGGCAACAGGTGGGAAACAACACCTTTTCAGGCATTGCCAATAGTTCAAGTACAAATTGAACCTTCATTATGTGTGAACCTTGTGGTGTGGTTATCTGTGGGTCAAGTGTTCCTTGTTGTATCAGCTGCTACATTCACCTCTCCTCCACCCTTTCCTTATGCAAGTTCTCACCTCTCTCTTCCAGTAATGTAATCCTCAGAGGGAAATGTGCTACTTTATTATGAAAGGTTCCCTTTAATCAAACAGCAAGTTTCACAATGTGTGTTCGCAGCCTACAGTTTCTGAATAGTTAAAGTACTGGAAGCTACTCTGCCCAAAGCAATACTACAGAATAGCACTGTTGTGTGATCTCTCACCTTTAGAATCAAAACCCATTTCCTAAATTTGCAGATGACACTAAAATCAGGAGGATAAGCCATACTGAGAAGAACTGCAACCAATTATTCTAAACTTGCAGAATAGACGAATTGGCAAATAAAGTTCTACACAGATTTATGTGAGGTAGAACAATTTGGTAGGAAGGATTTGGAGGTCACCTATTACTTGAAAGATGCAAGACCAGGTAGGGTAAAGGAACAAAGAGATCTTGGATTACAAATGTATCAATTAGTAAAAGTAGTGCCATTGGTTAGCAATGCCAAAAACAAAGCAAACCAAGTTCTAGGTATTATTTCTAGAGGGATGATATGAAAACCTTTGTTAAATGTGTACCGAGATTCGGTTGTGCTGCCCTTAGAGAACAGCATGCAGTTCTGACTGCTGTGTTACAAATGAGTTTAGAGGCATTGGAAAGGGTGCAGAGAAGATTTACAAGGATGAGACCAGAAATTTATATAAAGAATGGCTAACAGGTTGGGACTCCTCTTTTAAAAAAGGAAAGCTGAGGGCTACCGATCTATAAATGTATGAAAATTTTTGATGGCATTGATACAGAGAGAATGTTTCCTTTTATGGGGAAGAGGATGACTAGAAGCCATCATTATACGATCATCAGAAGAAAGTTTGCCATGCATTAGGGGTGAGAATGTGGGACTTGCCTGAGTTTGAAGTAATTATCAGATGGATATAATGGGAAGCCAGGAAAGCATTTGAAAGAGATGAGAATAGATGGTTACCGTGGCAAATTCAGATGAGAAAAGATAGCAGGAGATTTGAGTGGAGCACAAACTAATTGGTCTGAATGGATTTTGTGCTGCTTTTTTGATGTAACTCTGTATGTAATGTCAATAGTTAACTACAGGAGGTCTGAGTAGATAGAAAAACTGGGATATCTCAGAAGATTGAGCTCTTAGCAACTCTCTGCTTCATCAGGCCATGCTTCCAGTGTATGGATCAGGATCGCAGCAGGGTTGTGGGAGGAAACTGCTGGGATCATTCTCCAGATCAGAATGCCTCTCTCATTTAGTTTGCCAGATTGCCTCACTCCTACATGAAATCGATATTGTTTATGCAGGAGAGAATTGGACAAAAATACTAGCTCTTTTACTGCTCAATCTGTACAGCCCATGTTTGTACGTAATATGCACCAGTCCAACCCCCTTGAATTGCAATTCCACTGTACAAAATAGCAATCTATGGGCCCTAAGTGCAATGTGATCCTGCAATTTCAAATGCCCAGGAGAAGTCACAGCACAGTCACACAGTGATGGGTCAAAGAAATGTACATGAGGATTACAAGAGACTCACGTTTACTTATGTTCTGCCACTGGTATTAGTGATTTGTATTCAGCTTTCAAGTAGTCTGAGGAAAAAAAGACAGATCAAACTCTAATGAACTGGTAATGATACATCTGTGTTTTACTCACCCAGTTTTCGAGAGCATAGGCGTGCTGCAATTCAACCTGGACTTTGTCGCTATGGATCCCGGCTTGAATGCTGCTATGGATGGAAAAGGAATTACAAGGGGCAGTGCGAAGGTACCAGAGCAGCATTCACCTTCTCCTGCATTTCTGGCAAATTGAACCACAGTTTAATCCATATCTGAAAATACTGTGACATTAATTCATTTGTTGATCAGCAGAGTGAAAGAAAGAAAGTGATGCATATAGTTAAAGGTAAAATCACCACAGTCCTAGAAGACCATAGGGCTACTCTCTCATCAAAAAGAGTCAACTGGTGGAGAGTTTAACCTGAGGGTCACCAAGCCTCAGGCAATGGGAGAGGTTGAGAAGGCGGGGCCTTCGTTGTAACCTCAGCCAGAGCAGGGGCTGAACCCGCACTGTTGGCATCACAGCTGGTGAAATGCTGTAAATGTAATCTTTGGTTCCATATGAGCAAATGTAGTTGCTATTTTGTGTGTACCAAGGGCCCCACAAGCAGCTACTTGAATTTTTATACTTTCTTAAATTTTAAAAAGTGCTCCAAAGTACTTCACAGAGGTATAGAGGAAACAAGTGTCAAGTTAAAGAAAAATTATTTGAAGGAGTAACCTAGGAGAATCTTTTAGGCATAAAGGAAGATGAAGAGATAAAGAGATTGACAGGGGAAATTATAGACAGTTGGATCTAGGTAGCTAAGACTCAACAATCCTGGTTGAGGTGAGGAGACTGGGATGCACAAGAGGCAGGAATATGGAAAACAGACAGTTTAGGCTTAATAATGTGGCTCATGGAAGTTCTATCAATGGAAAGATGTGAGCCCATCGTGACAGTTAAATGCAAGGATGAGAATATTCAATTTGTTGAATTGGTGGAGCAGGAAGCAACATGGGTGAGCAGGGTTATGTCTAGTGAATGAGGGTTCAAAATGTCCCCACCCCCCGACCTCATCCCAAGACCAGCCCCCCTCTCATCCCTGTCTCATTGACCTGTCCATCTTCTGTCCCACCGATCCGCTCCTCCCACCTCACTGACCAATCCTCACCACTACCTACCTACACTCACCTTTACTAGCTTCATCCCCGCCTCCTTGACCTGTCGTCTTCTCTCCCACCTATCCGCTCCTCCCACCTCACTGACCAATCCCCACCACTACCTACCTGCTATCACCACTCCCCCCTCTCTATTTATTTCAGAGCCCCCTTTCCCTCCCCCATTTCTGAAGAAGAGTCCCAAACAGAAACGTCAGCTTTCCTGCTCCTCTGATGCTGCCTGGCCTACTGTGTTCCTCCAGCTCCACACTGTGTTATCTCAGACTCCAGCATCGGCAGTTCTTACTATCTTTGACATGGGTTAGAATGCCAGCAATGGAGATTTGAATAACTTTAAGTTTATGGAAGGTAGGTGATGGAAGCCTGGAAAAGAAAGGGTGACAGCCATTCAGTACCAAGGGCAATTGCCAACAGGAGATAAATATTCGCCAACTCAGCGCCACTTCTGAATGATTTTTAAAAGTTATATCTGGGAGCTTCAAGGCTGTGTAGGGTGATGTTATGGAAATAGACAGAGGCTGTCTCTGTGATAAGGAGAATAATGCAGCAGAAACTGGGTTAAGGTTGACCAACTGCACTGACGTTACAGGTAGTCTAGTTAATCCTGTGCCAATGGCCCTGGAGAATGGGGAAATAGGGGGCTGATTAATGTGTGTTGGGTGTCAATGATGATAGCTCAAGCAGCAAAATCAGTTAAATGCTTAGTTAAACAGTTTTGGTTTTTTGGTTGAAGGATTTATTTTGGCCAGGAACTCTACCTGCTCATCTCTAAATAGTTCCACATGATCCTTAGATCCATTCAGATAGACAGACAGGGCCTTGGTTTAACATGCAATCTGAAAGGCACCTCCTCCAAAAGCGAAGCTCCCTTCATGGAGCAATGACCTGCTTGTACTTACTCAGCTTTACCTCATAGCCTTCTGATTCTGGTGATAGTCACAGATGGTACGCACTTAACAATGCAAGGACCATGGACAGATGCTCAAATTCATAGAAGCCACCCTTAACAATCATGTTCCTGGTGGATAAAAAAGACCCCTTTAAAGGCAGCATGAATACTTTCCAGGTGTTGGTCTCTATTATAGTTTGTCAGTACAAGGAAGGTGTTTCCAGTGCACCAAGTTTTGGTTGCCCTTTATTGGCACAAATGAGGCATAAAATGTCTCGAAGTATATGTTGTCATTGGCCTGCTGTGTGCTACTAGAGGTGTAAAAGCTCACTGGCAGATAGAAAGCAGAAGCTAAACAATAACAGTAATTGGGAAACCTTGTGGAGCTTTTGTCCTTGAAGTCTGATTACAATTCCCGCTTCAGTCTGGAGGGCAAGGCTTGTGGGAACCTGTCTGTGCAAACAGACTGCAGGAAGTGTGCACACCTGCTTTGCCAATGGATTGAAGTAAGTGTCGAAAATGTCTGATGAAAGCTGCTGCGCAGGTCATAATTTTGTGTTTAGAACGATTTTCCCACTGACTTGGATTTAAGTCGTTGCTGCATTAGAATCTACATTTGGCACCAATCTCACCAAACAAGCAATGTCATAGACAAGTGAAACCACAGCAGCTGTGTGTCTGGTTCATTCAGTCTGAACGGTTTACCTCGCGTCCCATCAAGCCGTAACTTAGATGATTATTCCAGAGATGCCAATAAGAATTACTGTTAATTTGTCTGCTGCATGATGTCTGAATGTTGCACCGTGTAGCATTTTTCCGTGAATAATGTTGATGCTGCTAGTCATTGCCAAGTACATTGACAGCATGAAATTATGTCAGGTGATCTATGGTTTGGGGAAGTTATCAAGCTTTGAGACAAAACTTTGTTCCAACAGATGGATTTGTATTTAGGATTATACAGAAAGCGGAGCTAAATAGCTCTGGGGCAGTATGGGACATATGGCTGCCTGCTGGGATGCTTCCGCCTTCACTCCAGAGAGAGTGAAATGATTTTGAGACACAAAGCTCTCAACAATCATTGCCTGTACCATAAGTGTAACTAGTTAATAAAATGCTATGTGACAAGACTGGTTTGGTTACTTCTCTTCTCCCCTCTGGTGGGTGGATAATTCAAAGAATCACAGAATAACTACAGTGCAGAAGGAAGCCATTCGGCCCATCGAGTCTGCACCAACTCTTCAAAGAGCATTCCATCCAGACCCAGGCCCGGCCCCCTACCCTATACCTGTAACCCCACATTTTCCATGGCTAACTCACCTAGCCTGCACATCCCTGGATACCACTGGGCAATGCAGCATGGCTAATCCACTTAACCTACACACCTTTGGTCTGTGGGAAGAAACTGGAGTACCCGGAAGAAACCAAACACGAGTACGTGTGAATTTCACACAGACAGTTTTCAAGGGTGGAATCGAACCCCATTCCCTGGCACAATGAGGCAGCAGTACTAACTGCTGAGACACCATGCTGCCCTATTCCAGCCCCAATTTCATTTTTTCATCCAGCCAGAAGGTGCTGAGGCCAGAACAGATTGTGTCCACTCATGGCCAAGAGGCAGGGATATTCAATGTAACAGGCCTGAGGGAACAGGAATTCTGGTGGGATACAGAAAGGCGGCACAGTGGCTCATTGGGTAGCAGTGCTACCTCGCAGCGCCAGGGACCCAGGTTCGATCCCACCCTCGGGCAATTGTCTGTGTGGAGTTTGCACATTCTCCCTGTGTCTGCGTGGTGCTCCGGTTTCCTCTCACAGTCCAAAGCTGTGCAGTTTAGATGGATTGGCCATGCTAAATTGCCTGTCGTGTCTAGGGGTGTGTAAGTTAGTGGATTAGCCATGGAAAATGCAGGGCTACAGGGAAAGGGTAGAGGGATGGGTCTGGGTGGAATGTTCTTTGGAGGGGTGGTGCGGACTTGTTAGGCCGATTGGCCTGTTTCCACACTGTAGGGATTCTCTGATAGTCAGAACAGGTACCCAACACCAGCTTGCCCGTCCCAACCACCATCTTGGATACTTGGCAGCAACATCTCAGGGATCACTCCATGGGCAGTGACTACAGCAACACACATCAATGGATCTTAGCACTGGACACTTGTTAGCTTCTCCAAATCCTCATGGCACTACTACAATATTTTTACTGTACACTCTGCACATCAAGCTGCAACTCGAGTTACACCAGTCACTATCCTAGAAATATTGCTGCAAAGACCGTTTGTGCATGGGACAGGCATCCAGCTCACAGATTTGACCAAATTCCATCTCAGGACTGTTCACTTACTTTCTTCTCACTCACTCAATTTGAGCCTTACAACATCCCACCTTGCCGAGCCCTTCAGTGTTTTTCTTCCTCAGCCAGAGGTACCAGGCTCACAGTACTCCTGTCTTGCCTTGCCTTGCCATTTAGCACAGATGCAAAGCTAAGAAGCTTGTTATAGACATCAGCAGGCCTCAGTCAAATCAAGAGAGCCAACCTTCAGTTAGGAGGTCCTAGCTCAGTAAACCAAGGGCAGCTTCTGATACAAGCCTCCAGGGGCTTGTGCATGGTCATTCAGCTGCTCAAGATGGTCATAGTCTGGTTGCCCTCCTTTTAAGGGGTAAGAAACCAAATGTCAGGGACCCCGACACTGGTCTTCACTCTTCCGCCTATTGAGAGCTGTTTTCTCTTGGAATGAAAGAAAGCAAGGAAGATATTAAGCTAGTGAAACAAAGAGAAAGAGGAGAATTGTCCCGAACAAGTGAGTAGGCAGTGCAGAGGCCATGCAAGGTTGGTATGGTGAGGATTTGGGGTGGGTGAGAGTGACTAAGGAAAGATGTTGCAGTCAGTAGTGAGAAGGGTAGACCAGGAGTCTTGGTGAGAGGTAGGTGCAGTCACAGAGATAGCATGAGTGTTACTTAGCAAAGAGAAATGGTGAGACTGACCTTTGCCAAGCAGAGAAGGTCCTTGACCTTCTTCCTACACTACTGGGCATTCTTCCAGATGGCTGAAATTGCACTGACCCCAGTGGCAAACATGGGCTAGTCTGGCAGGGTCTGCTGTCATGATCTCCTCTGTTGATCCTGGGGAAAAAAGTGATGTCCTTCCTAAGCAACACCCCATCCAT